TCTTTGCCAAGGTTGGTCAGTCCCTTGCCTAAAGAGGTGCTCTATATGTATCTGTCCGTTTCAGATCATGCCCTCAGTGCTGTCCTCTTAGCTGAAAGAGACGGCATCCAGCTCCCGGTCTACTTCATTAGCCACGTTCTTAGAAACGCAAAGCCTCGGTACCCCATAGTTGAAAATTTTGGTCTCGCCCTTTACATGGCTCTCAAGAAGTTGAAACCTTACTTCTTGGCACATATAGTCAAGGTCTACACTGACCAACCGATCAAGCAGCCAATGACAACCCTGGAGTCTTCTAGCCGAATCCTCAAATGGGTTATTGAGTTGCAGGGACTGGAAATCACTTTTAAACCTAGGAAGGCAATAGAAAGGCAAGAATTCGCCGACTTTATTGTTGAAATTACAAGGCCGGCTAAGCCGGACAATATCAATCAGGTTTGGGAAGTGTATGTGGACGGGAGCTCCACGATGAATGGCTGTGGTCAGGCGTAATATGTAAGTCTCCTGAGGGGGGCAAGTATGAATATGCACTACGACTCAAGTTCCAAGACTCACACAATGAGGCCGAGTTTGAAGCCCTGCTAGCCGACATCCGGATGTGAAAGACGACAGGGGCAACGAGAATTGACGCCTGCTCTGAGTCACAATTGCTCATTAGCCAGTAAAATGGTGTCTATGAAGCTACCCATCCAATTATGATCAAATACTTGCAAGTGGTCAAGGAAGAAGCTGGGACACTTGAAAACTTCAATCTAAGCCAAGTGCCTAGATCGGCAAATAATCAGGCGGATGCCCTGTCCAAACCGGCGTCACCCGCCTCCTGTGAAACGCCTCGGTCTGTATTTTGGGCTTTACCTGACCCCATTGGAGTTTTTGACCGAAGCTTTACCGGGATGGACGGTATTCGGGCATACCTAACAGACGGCACCCTCCCTGATTCACCTCTGGAGGCGGCCGTGCTGAAAAAACGGGCTGCAAGCTTTGAGTTAAGGAAAGGAGAGCTCTTCAAAGCAGGTTTTTTGAATCTCTCTTGAAGTGTGTGACCTAGAAAAGGGGTATGAAGTCCTTGATGAATTGCATGTCGGATACTGTGCGTCTCATGTAGGCGGTAGAGCCTTAGTTGTCAGGGCCAGGCGACATTACTTTTGGCCTACCCTAATGTCGGATGCTATGGAGATGGTTAAAAAATGTGATAAGTGTCAAAAATTTGGCAAGTTAATCCATCGTCCGGCCACTGACCTGACGACAATCCACAGTCTTGTGTCGTTTGCTAAATGGGGCATGGACATTTTCAGCCCATATACGACTGCTCCAAGCGGCAGGCATTACATCTTAGTGGCTGTGGATTACTTTACCAAATGGGTAGAGGCGGAGGCGGTAACAAACAACAAGACAAAGGACGTCACCTCTTTCATTTAAAAAAATATCATCACCTGCTTTGGGGTGCCTATGTCTATGGTATTTGACAATAGTCCTCAGTTTAAGACCCCTCACCTGAAGACTTGGTTTGGAGATCAAGGGATCTCCAATAATTTTGCATCACTCGGCCGACCCCAAGCAAACGGCCAAGTCGAAGCCTTCAACAAGTTAATCTTAGACGACATAAAAAAGAAAATTGAGATAGCTGGCGGCCTATGGGCGGAAGAATTACCACATGTCCTATTGGCCATCAGAAAAACAGCAAAAGGGGAAACTAGAGAAACCCTATTTCTCATGGTGTATGGGGCAGAAGCTGTCTTGCCCATTGAGCACTATGAGCCGACTCTTATATGATGAAGATGCAAACTAGGAGGCCATGCGCCTGACAATGGACTCAATCCCAAAGCGCAGGGGAAATGCTGCCTTGCGCCATGAGATCTACCGCTTTAGAATGACTAAAGATTACAACAAAAGAGTACATAAGCGCCCTTTAAAAGTTGGGGACTTTGTGTTACAAAAATGGAGGCAGTCGGTAGGGCAAATGAATAAGGGAAGTTAACCCTAAATTGGGAAGGCCCCTACCGAATCTATGAAATAGTAAGAGACGACACCTACTGCCTGGAAACACAAGACGGCAGGAGGCTACCCAGAACCGAGAATGTAGATAACCTAAAGAAGTATTACTTCTGAAATTTTGTAAGGTTTTTTTACTTGTTAATGAAATTTTGCCTTCATTTCATACTTGTCTTTATTTTCTTTATTTTGAGCACTGACTACATAAAGTGCAGAAGGGCCATGCTAATAGCAAAGAAGGATGCCGCCTGCACAATGTGCAGGCGGACTAAAGTTTTAACTAATGACAAGATTGGAATACCGCCTGCACAATGTGTAGACGGACAACGTCGAGATTTTACGAGCTACCACCTACATAATATGCAGATGGATAAGCACACTCTAAAACTTAACATGATTAAGGGATCGTCTACCCCAACAGCAGACACCAAAGAAAGGATCTGACCGCACCAAAACAGTCGTCCTAAAACCTATCCTTAAGCTAAGGTAATACCTTAGCAGCTAATCATTGCCTATTTAAAGCTAATTCAATGACTTAGTGGCTATTTAATTTGTTAAACGAGGCCAATGGCCAGATGAACATCATTTAAACTACAGTCTGCTCCAACATGAGTACGACTGTCTGCTCCAACATGAGTCAGACAACCGGCGACGTCCATTCGGAGGAATTCGTCGAGGAGAATCATCTCCCATTTGGGTGGCACATTGCTCTACGAATACAACTAGCGGCCCTACCGAATGCGCTAAGTCAGCGCTCGCAGTCGTTCTATTTAATCTAACTTGAAAACTAAAAAGCATTGAGTTTAACGGCAGTTCTAGTACATACGGATGACGACTACTTTTTCAGGATTTGAGGCTACTTTACCACCTGTCCTTGTTATGGGACAAGGTAGGTTGACCAATTCATTTTCAATGAATATGTTAAGTTAAAAGACTTAGCAGTTTTCTATACTACTCGAGGCCTTTGGCCGGATGCATTCAAGAAACTATCTGCTCTATATAGCCTTCTATCGCTTGGTTTGGGGCAATCACCATAATGATTGATTGACTTAAAAAATTATTCATACTCTTTAAAGTATAAAAATTCATAAGTCAATCAATCTATGCAACTGAAACCAAACGACATCCGGCCAGGGGCAAGAACATTCGCGTATTATACAGGCTAAAATACTTAGCCAAAAAATTCTATGCATAAAAATTGAAAGCTTTGAGCATAAACACCAATATGAATAAAACCGGTCAAACGACCGGATGCTATAAAATAAGTAAAACAACCGTCAAAACAGACGACTTAGATTTTTAGCTGGCCTTGCCAGGAATTGACAAATCAGCCGACCCCTCGGTCGGTAAAATACAAGATTACTCAGCATGAGGCCGGAAAAGCGGATACTTGGCCATTCTGCCGCAGAAACAGAAATATAAAAGCTTAAGTAGTAGGGGAGAGGTTCTAATTGTAGGAAGCCGCCTCTTTTTTTCGACCAGTTGGCTACTCATCATTTTCTTCCTCCTCATCCTCTTGCTCATCCTTGAAGGAATATCTAGAGGAGCTAGATGCCTCAGCAGCGGCCTTGGCTACCTCCTCCTCCGCCTACCAAAGGAGCTGGGCGTTGAAATCACCGCTAGCTTGATTAAACTTGGTCTTCCAAGTATCATAGTCAACACCCGGCTAAGCCGCTTGCCATGCCATCCGCATGATGGCCTTATTTTCGTCCATCATCTGCTTGACAAGGGCCTCCTTCTCCTCCTCGTTTCACCTGCAGGTTGGCATCTGCTAGGAATACATCATATCAAGTGTCAATAACTCATTCTGAGCAATTTTAAATTGAGCTCTTTCTAAAGGGAGGCGGCCCAGGCATTAGCAGTCGCTACCTCTTTAGACTTTTTCCAGGATCGGCTTCTTAAAGCTCTTGAACGCGCAGCATGGCCTACATTCGGTTAAAGGGGCGAATGGTTAGCATAAGGCTGATACAAGTGTTACTTGTAAAATAAATTTTACCAAGTCTCTACCTCATATAGAATCCCTAATATTCCATCCAAGTTCAGGGTGCCGACTTCTCGGACGGACGCCTTGTCCTCTGGGTCGAGTGCCCACACCATATCCCTGGCTATCTGAACAACAGTCGGCCTCTGAACAGGAGCTGCACATGTTAAAAATATAAGTTAATAGCAAGACAAATAGTCTACATCTTTGCAAAAACATCAAGGGGAAGTAGCCTTACCCTCCGGCTGCTCCTCATCTTCCGTGATGGGCTTCTTCCCTTCTCCTGCTAAACCGGCAGCAGAGTTGAGTGGCTTGCCACTCTTCGATACCAGTTGGACATCCGGCTTGCTGATTCACCTATCAGCTTCGAGACGGGAGCCGTTAGCTCCTTTCTTTGGCTTTTGGGCGATATGTTTCCTCTTCTTGCCAAAGGCGCCCACGTCTCCAATCCGAAGTTTCTACACCTTAGGGTCTGATGGTTCGGAGGGAGAAGGCTTTGTGGAACCACTCTACATCAATAAAGAATAGTCAGAAACCATGCGAACTAATACAAAATCTTGCCAAAGTCAAGTAAGATGGACTTTTACCTTGGGAGTTCCGCCTGCTTTTTGTTCTTCGTTCGTCTGTTTGAGAACTTTCGAACGGTACATTGCTATAGAGGCTGCAGTCGGCTTCTTAGAGGCTGAGAGCTACTCCATAGCTTTGTCTGCACAAAGAAACATGAGTTAGAAATCTGCAAGCAAACTTTAAAAATACCTAAAGCATATAAAATTTCAAATGGCCGACTACCTCTCGGCATCTCTATACTCAGCCCACAGTCGGCCAAGTACACCCTATTCGAAAGCCATTCGTAATGAGGAATGTAACTCTGGGTGGGTGACTTCTTTCTCCCTCGTCTGTTCGTTTGTCTGGACGGACAACTGGAATAGACCCTTGTCAAAGATCTTCTCCTGGGCTCGCCTAGGGAGTGGCGGTAGGGCTTTTTTTCTAGCCAGGAGGGGTGGATCCTTATTCCATCTGTTATAACATCCTAAAGGCCTTTCATGAGCACATCTTCATACCAAGATATTTCCTTGCTAAGAGCACCTATCTCATCGTTAGAAGTGAGCAAGTGCTCATGCATGGAAGACACAACATGATCAAGAGAGTCAATCATCATACAATTTTCTAAAGAAGAACATGGATTCTTCATGCTTTCATACATGTCAAATTCAATGACCTCATATCCTACCTTAAGTAAAAATTTTGCACTCGTAACATCAACCATGGCACCCGAGGTAGTAAGATAAGGTCTACCAAGAATTATAGGAATGGTAGCATCTTTATCCATTTTAAGAACCACAAAGTCCACTAAAATCACAAACTTCCCTAATCTCAAAGGAACATCCTCCACCTTACACTTAGGAATCTTAATTGACCTATCGGTCAATAGCAAGGTAATATTAGAAGGCAAAAGTTCCCCTAGCTCAAGTCTTTGATAGACCGAATATGGCATTAGGCTAGCACTAGCCCCTAAGTCACATAAAGCATTATCAATTTGCATCTTGTTAACGGCATAAGGGATAGAGAAGTTTTTGGGATCTTTGAGATTAGTTGGCATCTTGTTCATTATAATTGCACTACAATTCTCGATCAATTTCACCGTCTCTACAACATCACAAGTCCTCCTACCGCTCAAAATGTCTTAGAGGAATTTTTCATCGTTGGGCATTTGTGTGACAACTTCGGTAAATGGTAGAGAAAGGTGAAGTTGCTTGAGTATGTCAATAAACCTTCCAAATTTTTCATCTAACTCTCATGAATTTTTATGGATAAGGAAGCTTGGGTTTAACAATTTCTTTCTCTACTCTCACCTCACTAGGTGTCTCAATCACAACCTCACTCAAAGATGCACCATCTCTCTCATCCTCTATCAAAACCTCCTTAGGGACTTCCTTAGTCTTACTCTTCCTAGGCATACTCTCCTCAAGAACCTTACCACTCCTTGTAAAAATAGCATTAACGGGTCTCTTGGGATCTAGGCCTTGGGAAGGTAAAGAAGAAGGACTAGCATGGTCTTTCAAAGCATTGGCAAGTTGAGAAATTTAATTTGTTTTTCAAGCATCTTATTATGAGTCATCATTTCATTGAATTTCTTGTCACTTACGGCCATGTAAGCGTTCAACAACTTTGTTAGATTTTCAATGATTTTTTCCAAATTAGTCCTAGAAGAAGAAGAAGAGGATTGAATATAGAATTATCATTTTGGGTCTTTAGAGAAAATCCGGGTGGGGGCCCCTTTGAGAGTTATTTTGATAATTGCCCCTATTTTGATTGTTCCAATTACCTCTATCTTGATTATTGTTACCATAACCTTGGTAATGATTACCATAATTTGCGTTTTGATTTTAGCCACTATAACCTTGGTTGTTGTTATAGTTACCTTGGGAAATTTGGTTCCCATAGTTCCTATTACCACCACCTTGGTTATAGTTGTTAAAATTGCCATGATTGTTGTAATACCTATTCCATTGGCCTCTTTGATTGTCAAACCTAGAATCATTATTGTTTGACACATAGTTCACATTCTCATTCACATTTCCATCTTGATCATCACAAATATCCATGCATGAATGAGGGCAATTAGAAACATTATTTAGGCATGTTACTAGAAGAGGGTGAGGGTTGAGGATTAGATGACACACCTCACCCCTTAGTTTGGGAGGGAAGGCACGAGACTTGGGAAGTAGCAGTTTCCAACTTCGCCTTGATAGCGGACATTTCCTTCCCCAAGTTTGTTATTTGTGAGGAGAGATTGTTGATTGCATTTAAATGATCAACCGAGTGCACCGAAGAGCTACTCTTTCTAGTTGACTCTCTCTCTCCATCTTGCCAATCTCTATAGTATCTCACTACGTCTTCAATTATGTCTACCACTTCCTCTTGCGTTTTATTCATGATGGAACCTCTAGCTCCTCCATCTAAACATGACTTCCCTTGAGGACTAAGGCCTCCATAGAATATTTGAATAATTTGGTAAGTACGAATTCTGTGGTGTGGATATTCTCTATGATACTCTTTGTATCTCTCCCATGCTTCATAGAGGCTCTCACTTGGATATTATTTCAAAACGTTGAACCAAAGCTCTATCCTCCGTCGTTTTCTTTTGTGGATAGAAATGGGATAGAAATTCCTTGGTAACTTCGTCCCATGTCCTTAGAGAATTTGGCATGACCTACTTGTCTAACAATTCCAAGGCACGCCCTATGAGGGAAAAGGGAAAGAGCTAAAGGCGAATCAATTCTTGGGAAATTCCATTCACCTTGATAATATTGCAATATTTCTCGAACTCCTTGAGATGGTTTAGTGGGATTTCATGCTTGGCCCCACTAAATTGACGCCTCTCTATCAAAGTGATCATTGTTGGCCTTATTTCAAAATCGTGGAGCAATCCCACTCTCAAATCTATATGCACCGGGAATCCCAAATTCTTTCAACGCCACCCTTGGATTTTCTCCCATTCTTTCTTGTTCTTCTTGTTGTGGATCTTCTTCACTTGTGGTGCTAGAACTCAAAGAGCATCTAGCAACCCTTAATATTTCAATATTCCTCTCAATCTCCGGATTAAATGGCACTAGTGAATGACCACGTGCTTTGTGCATGCAATCTCAAAAGAAATGATTAGTAGCACAGCTACACGTGTAGCCTAAAAATAAATATTTTTGTTTTTTTTTCAATTAAGAATGAGACTCAACTGCTATAACAAAGCACCAATATCATTCCACAGCAACGGCGCCATTTTTACAAGAGGAAATTGTAGGTCGTTTTGTACCCTTTTCTAGAGCCAAACTAAATTTGTAAATACTCGACCAACCTAATACGAATATATGGTAAGTGAAGGGTCGAACCCAAAGGAATGAGTAGGCGCAAGCTATAGCCTATGTCAATCTAGTTTGAAGAATTTAGATGGTTACGGTTGCTAACTAAGGTGTCAAGAAACTAGATAAATCTAGAAATTCAATATGCTAAACACTAGGGGTATAGGTTCAACATGCAACATCAATGATTATGCTAATTGATATATCACTCAATCGATTCAAACATTTGATCGAAGGTAGGAGTAAGTCGGTGGGACTACTAACCCTAACCAAATTAGAAATTTATAATACCTAAACTTACACTAAACTAGTTAGTGGCAAACAAAAGGGTCAAACCCAAAAGGACTAAGTGTATTAATTCGTGCCAACTAGACTACTAGGGAAAGTTGTGAGATAGAGAGAGGTTAAACTAAACACGACTAAGAATAAACAATTAAAACTAGGGAAAGTGGAATCCAATCACATCAATGTATTAAACAACATCATACAAATAGATGAAAATGACCTTGATTAAGAACATCAACACATTTAACTCACTCTCGCACAATTAAGCATGTTAATTATCCTACTAAACTAATTCTCTCTCGTGTAACTAGCCTAGCAAAGGTATGGAAGAATTTAGGGCTCTCAACCAACTCAATCTCGCACAATTGATTGAAAGCACAATTAAGAGCATAGAATAGATTAGCTAGAAAGATTCTAATCCATAGAAGCATCACCCATACACAATAATCAAGAAACAATTTCATACTAATCACAATCAATCATTCAATTCATTAATATAACCTTCATCCAATTCCCTAGAACAAAACCTAAGCTAACATAATGAAGAAAGACATGGAAAACAAGGTAAAATAAGAATAAAAACAAGATTAAACAAACAAACTAATTAATCTACTCAAATCAACAAAAAAAAAGCAAAAACTAAGAATCAAGCAAAGAAATAAAGATGAGAGAAAGTTAGAAATGCTCATTGAATAGATGAGAAGAAGTTCCGCAAAGTTGCTTCTTCAACCTTTCAAAAACTCCATGGAAATCCAAGCTTTCTCTCTCTACACTACTCCTAAACTAGAGAGAGAAAATCCTAATCTAACCCTAAGAGAGAGAAAATATATGCTAAACTAATCTAATCTATCTAAAATAAAATGTTGATTGAAAGTTCCTAGAAAATAACCCTAAAAGGGGTATTTATAATACAAGGCTTAAAAATAAAACAAAAGAAAATAAAATGAAAATAAAACTAAATAAAATAATTAAAATAACAAAACTAAAATAAATAAAAAGGAAATAAAAATGAAAACAAAACACAAAAAACCCCCAAAATTCCCACCCAAACCCACGATTTCAACATCACCACCCAATTCCCTTTCTCTTTGTGGCTGCTCTGAACTTTCATCACCATCACGCATCATCTTCACCCTTCATCGAAAATCTTCATCAAGCAAAACTAAATCGCGACCGTCTGATCTTCATTAAAATCACGTGAAAAGCTCGTGATTGACCCACATTGCACGCCCACACAGAAGTCGCACAGCAAGTCGCGCAAAGCTACTGCTTCAACTCGATTTTGGACTTCATTTTGTGCGCTTTCTGACAGGGCTGCGCAGCCGCGAATTGGTTGCTCTGTGAGTTTGGGTGTTGGGCGAATTGCGGCTGCAATTGTTGTTGTTGTTTTGGTGGCTGACGGTGGTCTTAGTTGGAGTGGAGTGCTGGTGCGGTTATGGTGGGCTGATAGGTGGTGTTGGTGGTTTAATTGGTGTTGCGGGGGTTTGTGCGTGAGTAATTGTTGCGGGGGTCGAATTAAAGGTGGTAATTGCTGGCGGTTTTGGTGGCGAAATAGGAGGTGTGGCTGGGTTGTGCTGTTGCTGGCAGCAGGGGAGTGTTGGTGATGTGGTGAATTGGTTGCTGCGGTTTGCACGTGAGTGGTGTGACGGTGGAACATGGGGTGTGAAATGGTGGTTAATTGGTTGTTGTGGTTTGGGTGGCTGCTGTGGCAGTGTGGTGGTGATTGCTATTGGTGTTGGTGTTGTTGGGGGAAAGCAGGGAGCAGGGGAATTACTTGGTGGTTGTTTGGTGTGTGGAAGAAGTGAGTTGCGTGGCTGATGGTGGAGGTTGGTAGAAGGTGGTTTGGTATTGTTGTTGTTGCGTAGGGTGTGGGTGTGGGTGTGAGAAGGAGGAGCAGGGGTTGCTGGTGAGAATTAGTGAAGGGGTATTGGTTGCTGTGGCGGCTTGAGATGGTTGGTAAAATAGGGGAAAATTGATGGTGATGGCTGGCGGATTGGTGGTGTTGGTGTTGGTTGATACGGGTTTTGGTGGTTGTAGCAGGGGAGTTCTTGCGGCAATTGAAAATCTTTGACTTGAACCTTGAACTCGAGCCTACACACAAACAAACCCGAGGATAAAAGTGTGAAACCGAGACAAATAAAATAAATAAATAAAAAGGAAATAAATAAACTAAATTAGAAAAAGAGAAGTAACACTAAACTAATAAAAATAAATAAATAAATAAAAGTAAAATAGAAATACGAAAAATAAAACTAAAACTAATAAAGACATAAAACTATACAAGTAAATAAAATAAACTTAAAACTAATTAAAACTATGAAAGTAACAAAGAAAAGGAACAAAATAAAATAAATTGAAAGCAAATAAAATATTAAAATAAACTAGAAAATAATTAAATAAAGAAATTAAACTAAAACATAATAAAACTAAGAATTAAACTTGACACTTTATTAAAAAGAAAATAAGA